GGCAGGTATGTGATCAGGCTGGATCTTGTCTATTATTAATTGTTTACGTTTGAGCGCTTATAATCAGCTTGTTCTGTATGCTTTCCGGGAAGCTGAGAATGTTTCTGGATGTTCTACGCCTGCCGGGGTAGTAATAATAATGTAAAGCGCAGAGCTTGCTATCGAGCGGGGGTATGCGCTATACAAATGACATTCATTATTATTATTATTATTATTATTATTATTAGGCTATTATTATTATTAGATCTATCTAGATCTAATGTGCCTGCCTTTTTTTAAAAACTTTTTTTCTGGACAGTTCAATTGTGAATCCTGCAATGAAAATGGCATTGGAATTTCGGAGATGTGTTATTTGGTTTGTAATTTTAAAAAATTACGGTCCATCACAAAATGTTTTGTTTCGAATACCTCTCTCGTGAACTGGTTAGGCCTCTGTAAGCAACCTGTACGTGTGAAAATTTCCGTTTTCTCGCAGTGTGGTCTTCAACGGACATGTTAATAATTCGTCAGTTATTTCCCTTTACCCGCCAAAAATAATCGAAAAAAGTGGCAATTTGATTTTATCCGTTGCCGCCCCTTCCTTTCGCTTTCAGTTCTATTTCCACGGAAAACAGATCTTGCAATTATTCTTGTAGGCCCTATAGCAATCTAGATCTAGATTCTAGATCTAAATCTAGATCTAGACCTAGTTCTAACGCGCCTAAAGACCGAGTCAATAGGTTCATGCAGGATGGGATCTTCAGGTATTTATTTATCTTTAGGGTTTAGGTGACTGGTGTAACTCGTAAGAAGATAAGAAACACATTAATTGTAGGATTGTAGATCTTCAAGAATTTCTGGATGCTGATAATGATAGAAATCTAGATTCTAGATGAAGATCTATACTGACTATGGTAAGCTTTGATTGGCTCTTGATTTTTTAAAAGTCAAGTTCTTTTTGGGCTTGTAAAAAGTAACGAGAAGCTCTAGGTCTAGACCTACTCTACGCAAAAGTGCCACGCCCCCGCCCCATCCCACCACGAAGTCACGAAGTCACGAAGTCACGAAGTGCGCATAGCCTTACAGTTTGAATTTCGATTTTTGATCTTTTAGAAGGCAAGCTGCTTTGACCGTTTTAATTGACAGATAAAAATGGAGAGATAGTTTAAAAAATAGGCCCACGTCCTTGTTTTTTCATGCGTGTCGTGGGTTTTGGGTAGCCTCTCTATTGAACTCACATGAAAAAAACAAACAGATAGCTCATTGGAATTTAACATAGAATCTAATTTTATTGTACTTAGATCTATAGTAGGCTATCGCGTTACTTTGAGATTTGATAGATTTATAAAGACTTTTGGAAAGGCAGTGTTACCGTTTCTGTTTAGCCTAGATTTCTACTACTACTATTATTAGAGTATCGCCCCTCCCATCTCACCCGCCTTCCAGTGAAGGCATGGGGTTCGGGTGTTTGAAAAAGGTATTAGGCCTATGTTAGAATACGTATTGATCTTGCCACCTGTATTTGTACCAGGGTTGGTGATTTTTTAAATAAAAATTTAAAAAATCGATTTTTTTTATTTAAATCAGATTTTTTTTATTTAAATCGGATTTTTTAAATTTTTTTTATTTTTAAAAAAAATGTCGACACAGTTTGGGATTTTTGGTGGCTAAAAGTATGTTCTTTTGGTGCAAAATGCATTGTCTTTATTTTAACTAATGATTAATTTAAGCAACTGCAATTTTAGAAAGCCTTAATCTGCTATATCAGTGAATTATGGCTACAGACAAAAAATGAAGAAAATGTCAGTCTAAAAGGAAGGGGGGGGGGGGGGGGGGTAATTATTCATATAGATAAACTTGCATTTTATTTTTATTACAGTGTGTGTGTGAGCACGCGCTTGTGTTTGTCTAAAAAGAAAAAGAAAATGCTAATTTCAATTATGAAAAAAAAGTAAATTGAATACTGTATTATTTTACTACTTACAGTGACAGGGGGGGAAGCAGACTTTTAAGCAATTTTAGTCTACTAAACCTTATATCTGTTTTATAAAACCAAGGAAAGGAATTCTGAATGTTTAAAGATGTAAAAACAGAAAAAACATTTTTTTAAAGTGATTTAAATCACTGAGTTTTATTTTTAAAATCAAGTTGATTTAAATATTTAAAAAATCAACTGATTTAAATCGACCCGATTTAAATCAACCCAACCCTGGTTTTCAATTATGAAAAAAAAGTAAATTGAGAACTGTATTATTTTACAGTGACAGGGGGGAAAGCAGACTTTTAAGCATGATTATATTAGTCTACTAAACCTTATATCCGTTTAAAATAAAACCAAGGAAAGGAATTCTGAAAGTTTAAATATGTAAAAACTGAATACATTTTTTTGAAAAGTGATTTAAATCACTGATTTTTATTTTAAAAATCAAATTGATTTTAAAAAATTTAAAATCAACTGATTTAAATCAACCCAGCTCTGATTTCAATTATGGAAAAAAAAGTAAATTGAATACTGTATTATTTTACAGTGAAAGGGGGGAAATCAGACTTTTAAGCATGATTATATTAGTCTACTGAACCTTATATCTGTTTTATGAAACCAAGGAAAGGAATTCTGAATGTTGAAATGTGTAAAAACCGAATAAAAATAATTTTTACAAAAAGTGGTTTAAATCACTGATTTTTATTTAAAAAATCAAGTTGATTTAAATCAAAAAAATCAACTGATTTAAATCAACCTGATTTAAATCAACCCAACCCTGATTTGTACCGCAATTAATTATTGCTGCTTAAAATGTTGTGAATGATTCTGGCGTGGATTTGAGCATATTAAAAAATGTAATTAATTAAGATGTCTTTTACCATTTTTCAGCCTTCTTCATTGTGTCACAATTGCTGGCTTCCAACAGTTTGAGACAGTGACTCATGATAGGCCTAGAGGAAAAGGATCCAAAGACTTACAGTTCATTCAGTTGTCATAGAATTGAGTAGAAATGACTGCTCTTACTCTTGGCAAATTTGACAGGGTGTTTCAATTGCCAAGGACACATTTTGTGGGAAGATGGAAGATAGAAGATAGTTTGAATTATTATCGAAGAATACATACTTAAATGTAAAGTGCTTTGCAATACTTTCATACTGTGAGTGTAAGCTGCTGCAACTGAAATCATTTATTTCTTTCTTTCCTGTATTCCACAGACATAGTTGTGTGGCAACCTAGCTAGAGTGACAGAATGACACCTGTGAGTGTGTTTTGTGTGCTGGCATTCCTGCTCGCCTGCCAGGTTCCCCAAAGCCAGAGTTGCTTCCCTGTAGATATGTTCGAGCACAGCTTTCGATGGCTGCAGTCCATCACATTGCACAAGCGTCTATATGTCTACATTGATCAAGAGGAACCGAGGCATATCCGGATGGAGAGTGAGGGAGAGCAAAAACAGAGGAAGGTGGGTGGGGTTTAGTGTAGAGTAATAATTCTTTGGCCAGCTGTTCAGATATGTACTACACCAAATGTGTGGGGAAAAAATTATTTCAGATTCATAATGAGTGGTATCGGTTGTAGGCCTATGAAAGAAATTGTTAAAATTCAAATTTTGAATTAATGTTGAAAAAAGCCAGAAAAGTAAATAAAGATTCATAATGCTGAGGTACAATTGTCATAAGAATAAAACAGCTTTTTTTTCTATCCTGAAAAATTTTGCTTTCTGGTCTTAGAAAATTTGAATTGCTTGCCGACGAACTGTTATAAATGTACAATTTGTGCCTGTTGACATTTTGATAATCGAATGAGTAAAACATGAGACTGCGAATCCATAAAAGAAATCATTTCCAACATCTGGTGTACCATGAAGGGAAAGAGGATGACAAAAAAAACCCTGAGACCTTTGCTTTTACACCTAGTCTCAGGATTGTTTTCTTTCTATTTTTTGGGGGGTTTGATTCCACTGCATGAGTGGCCAACTCTGTTTCAAGCGTTTTTCTTGACTTCAGATTATGTTTTAGAGACTTTTTTAAAGGTTTATCTTTTACAAAATGAACTTTGAGATAATTCAAAGAGGCCTTGCTTTCTAAGAGTTTTTAAGGTTTGTTAACTCGGGTGAAAATTCAAAAATATATCATCATGAAATGTCAAATATGCGATGGACATTGCCAATCATGGTTCCTCATTCATTTCTTATTTCTTTGCCTGGATGCTCTCAAAGAGAACTACAGTGCTGCTATAGCTCTATATTTTTCCTGGTCTTTCCCCTTCACATATCTGTTCATGTTTTCCAAGTAAGTTGCTTTAGGTCCTACGTACCCTGCTTTGGTTGCCTTCAATTTTGCCTGTGAGAGATAGATGTTCAAGGCCCATTATGTGTTTAATGTCCCAGAAACTACATTTGTCTCTTCATGATTGTTTTAAACCATACTTTACATTTCTTTTTTTCAGATCAATTTAAAATGCCTACATGCGTATAGTGACCAGCGCTACATGGTTCGTGTGGAGGAGGTATACCAGCCAATCTACTACCATTGTATAAAGTTCCAACAACTGTCCAAGTATGTCATCAGAATATCAAAGACCAAAGCACGAGTCAGTAAGAAAAAGGTGAGATCTTTGTTCTCTCAAAGGATGTCTTTTTTTGTGTGTCCGTGTCCCAACTTATTTTAGTTGGACCATGTTGTAGTAGCCAAAATCAAAATTAAAATGTTTTATGTTAATAAATTTTGTGTTTCCCTGCCACTGGAAAGTTTTGCAAGTTCATCACTCTTGTTACCGGCCAATTCATTCTAGTTTACCATCTCCGTCCAGTATGTAACAAGAAACAGTTATTCATTTCCACCTTTTAGATGTCAAGTGTTAACTTTAATACTTCTCCGTATTTACTGTTGGCCAGGAACCTGTTGGCTTGTTTGTGAACTGACCAATGTAGACTCAAGTATTGTTCTGTGGCTAGAAGTGAAAAACACCACTGTTTAAATTAGAAGTCTTGCATCTTATGGCTGAACGAGGACACTGCTCAGGAGATATTTTTAAGCTACTTATTAATATCTTTTTGCCTACAATTTTTAACTTGCTCTTTTAAAAAGCATATGATAGAGATATGTGACATGTACAAACTTGCACATATGCCAGTACTTATACGTTTCCATGTACACACTCTCCAATACCCACATGCTCTTTTTAACACACCCATCATGCAGATGAGCACACAACACACGCACGCCAACACACACACATACACACACACACACACACACACAATATACACACATACATATACACATAGGTGTGCAGGAACGATGAAGAAGGACACCTTTAGATAGATTAATAGTGTCAACAAAGAATGGACTGATGCTAGAACATACAACAACAAAATACCTATTTCAGATTACAATTGCACTCCTGTCTTCTATTTTAATTTGATTATGACAGTGACAATTTTTGTTCGTCTCGCGGGAAGAAAAAGAAGTATGTGAGTATTCTAAAGTTTTCCACTGTTATTTGTCACAAAGTTCTTCTGTAGCTGAATATTAATAATTTCCTTTTTTCTTCACCCAGGTTAACTGTGAAACTGAGATGTATATGGAAGACGAGGCGGTCATCTTTGCCTACGAGGTTCCTCCCCAGCCATGTCCACTCTCTGGTGGCTATCAGTTAGTGATGCACCAGGGCAGGGCTATTGATGGAGCCTGCTTGGACACTGTCCAGGGGTATAACCCAAGGGTGCAGTTTGAGGTAGAGCAAAGTTTTTGTAAAGAGAAATCAAATAGTATGAAGAGAAAGAGAGATGAAGAGCCATTCCATGAAAAGTGAAACTGTAATGATGCAGTGCTGGTAGAATTCTAAGCAGCGATAAAGCCATTCCTTTTTTTTAAAATTAGAGGTAGTGAAACTTGTCTCTAACAAACAAACAAAAAATAGATAATGGCCCTATCGTTACTAAAAATATTTTTAGCAGGTCATTTTCCCCATTGTTCTGTATGTCACTACAGTTTCTCTTTTCATGAGATCTAAAGACGTGGGCCGAAAAAGAAAAAGGAGAGAAACAAAGGCAATGCCGTTGACGCACTGACTAAAGGAGCTATACTATGAACATTATCTCTCTTTCGCTTTTAATGGTACTTGCAGTATAGTGAACAGTACAAAAAGGGTAATTTGAATGCAGTCAAGGTGTATATCAACTCATTCTTACACATGCACATGCTTACAAAATTACACATATCAATGCTTGATACTTTCAATGATCACAATATTGCAGTGATAGTTAAATATCAAGGTTACTTGTCATTTGAACTTCTTTACAACTCACCCCCACTCCTTCCTCCTCTTTCCATCCAATATAACTTTTTCTTTTTCCTGGTGCTAATTTTTGTGGTGTTTTCATTTCCGCAGTGTGACATATCCAGAGGGGGTAACGTTATGGTGGAGTTTGGACGTTTCTGTGAACCAAGTATTCTCACCCGCTCGCAGAAGATGCGCGGGCGGCACATCACGAAGCTGCGCTGTCTGGGCTCGTGGGAGGAGTCTGGCTACAGCTCCGTGCTGCTTCAGATGGAGAACTCGGAAGTCAATGTCTGGTGTCTGCACTACAGGCAACAGCGACACTCGAGATCTACCGTTACTTCAGACGGAGAGGAGTTTCTGTCAGCGTTCTTGACACTAGATGGGCGGTGTTCGGGTGAAGCGTTTGTCAATGAGGATATGCCCCGGAACTCGAGTATGTTTGGCTCTCTGGCTAGTTATAGGCCGGGAAGTGACCTAAAATGTACCGAAGAGGGTTATCTTCAGAACTGTAAGCTGAGAGAAGATAGATGTTTTGAGTCGTCCGAGTGTCCAGACAATTGCCACAGGTGTATCAAGCCTGTGGAGAAACGAGCTTGTGAGTTTGATGAAAACACGCGGGGACAGTGGGAACTTGTGTACTCTTTCGATAATCTAACAGTCTCCATTGGTCAAAACTCTCTCAAGGGTTCAGCTTTTGGAGATTTTGAGTGTCGGGGTCCTGCAGAAAGCAGTCTTCCTGGCAACGTGTTCCCGGTAGTTCAGAGAGGTACCAGTGCTACGTGTATGCCGTACTACGCGTGTGCTCAAGTATTGCACCTAGCACCAGGCATGCTGGCCTTTAACCTGAGAGCAGTCGTCCGAGATGCGTACACTGGTGCTCCACACTCCTGTGTGGAGACGCACAATGCTGTAGGTCATATTGTCCCAATCAAACTCCAGCGTACACTAACTCTTCTAGACAGAAAACGGCTGCAAGAGGTTCCGTGTCAAGTACAGGCCCGCACATTTCCCACCATGGTTGGGGAGTGCAGAATTGCAGTAGATCAGTGCGATGGTGACTGTCAGACATTGACAGTGGACTATGATGAAAAAACATGTAACTACTCGGGCAGCAATCCATTTAATATAGAACATGAACATAAGTGCTATGCTCACATTTTCTTCCGAGATGGAATAGAAGGAATTCTAGCAAAAACTGCAGACAGCGACAAGTTTTTATGCTGGGTTTTTAGTCCTACTCGACTCTTTATTACAATAGCTGAAAAATGCAATCAAGAGGGAGTAACTGCTATATATAATGACCGCGACGCTGCTGTGAGTTATGACCCCTTGAATGCTATCTCCCGGCCAGTGTCTGGCTCTTCCACAGACTATAATAATGGTAGCCAGTTATCTGTTTCTTTTCTGAGTCAAATTATCAAGTCTTTGTGGTCTCTCTTCTGGGTTTTTTGGTTTTTCGTTTAGCGTTTTCCTATTCTTTTTCTGTATCATGTGGAAAATTTGCTCTATTAATTGCACAGAAATCATGATTTTATGCAACCAAAGAAGATGTAGTAATATCAGAACATTTGTCTCACAATACAAGTAATCATTTACCGTCCGCCTCTTACAAAACCTTAAAGTGTTGAGAGGGGAGTTAAATCTATACAATTTTGCAATTTTAGCTTTAACTGTAGACAGTCTCTTACAACAATTTTCAGTTTTTGTTCTTCATGGAATTGTCATCCCAATCAGTGGCTTTAAATGTTATACTAGTCTGTTAAGACACTTCGGAATTATTTTCACTTTGCTGTGGTTACACTTCCATTTGTCAAGCAGCATGGCTTCAAGTCTTACCGGTGCTTGATTAAAATCTGCCTTTAAAATCATCGGTGAGGACGGGGTTCATATACCCTTGTTGGCTAAAAACGATTTTTTTGTTTTGTTTTTCATTTTCTCAGTAATTGTTTCATATAGTTAATTAATGATGCTATTCATACAGGAGGAAGTATAGATCTGAATTGGAGTCTTGTTTAAGAGAGAGTCATGTGTAAACAGCAGTAATTATTACACGTCATGATTTGTGGTAAATCGTTATCATAGTTGTTGTTACCCATCCTTTGAAGTTATCTTTGCTCTGAGGGTTTTTCAAGTTTTCTCATTTTAGTACGCTTGAGCAGAACTTTGATGTGATAGATTTCTTACCTCCCATGATGTGGTGAGGGAAGGGTAAGGAGGGATAAATTCCTGAAGTTTACCAATTCCAACATCTCTTCCTGATTGACTGAGTTTCCCAAAGTTTGATAAACAATCATTGATGGCGAATCTGTACAAACTGGAAACCCTTCAAAGTGTTCAGATTAATGCAATTATCATTGCTTTAAGAATATGTGTGTGTGCCTAAAGAAAGGTACGAAAAGTCGGATTTTGACCATTTTGAGTTAAGGGTTGTACCTTATAGGAAATGCAATGCTGAACACAAGGGTCTTTGAATTTTTTAGATATCTTAAGTAGTTTTTGAGATATTGCAAATTTTGCGAGCTAGGGTATAAAGATAGAATTTTGAGAAAATGAGCTTTTTATGTTAAACAAACGTGAGAACACATACAAACTTTTTAAAAGCGATTTTTAAAATGTATTTACTCAAAGAAAATTCAAGTCCAATTTGGCATTCAGGTCACATCACTATCATAAATGGAATTCAATGGTAAAACATAATAGGGAAGAGAAAACGTGCTTCAAGAATAGATTGTAACACTTTTTAAAGCAGTTTCCATTATTTGTGTTTATTATACCCTACCCTCAAAATAATTCATAATAAAATATTTAGAAGTCAAATCAATGAAACCCTTTGAGCATATTGTAAAAAAATGGTGGATCTATCAATTTTTAATGGAAACCCATTTTGGTCGCAAAAGTGATTTTTGTGATTATCAGCCTGTAGCTCGAAATGGTCTTGGGCGACTTTTGGTACCTTTCTCTAGGCGCACACACATATGCTCACATTAACACAAATTCGGTCATTTCGGAGGTGGGCTGCCAAGATCCTGCCTGTCGGGGCCTTTCTGGCCAAGTGCTATGCAATATTTCAAATTCCCCACGTCAGAGTCGAACGTGCATTTTCTGCATGTAGAGGGTTTTGCAATATTTCAGAAGAAAGATGGAGATATTCTATTAAAAAACTGGGCCATGTGGGTATTGAGCTTGCATCTTCTGCGTGCAACGGCGAAGAACCTAACCATCATGCCAGATAGGTAGGCTTTCCTACTCTCTTTGGAATTTTTTTTCCATAAAGAGGTCTTTTTCAAGGTGTCTGACTCCTCTCTCCTCTACTGTTCTCTATGTTGTTCTTTTCTGCTTGGCACAGGACTCTTCTCTTCTCTTCTCCACATATTGTTCTATTAATAGTTCATAGTGTCTCACTCCTCTCTCCTCAACGATACCCCCATGGTGTTCTATTGTTCATGGTGTCTGACTGTTGATTTATTTCTGTACCATTCTCTATTCTGTTCTATTATTCTCAGCCATTCCTTCTGTAGTCTTTAGGATTTTGTAATAATAATTGGCCTCAATTGTCCGTTCCCATCCTGTTCATTTTTGTAACAAGGACAAAACATTATCATTGTTCTCAGTATCCCTTCTGAAATCTTTAGAATTTTGTTACGTTTGGTCTGGCAGCTTTTTAAAAAGCCTTGATATTTCATCTTTGACTTTCCGTTTTGAGACTGTTCATTACATTGCAGCTACTTGGAAGTGAGATTGTTATCAACATGGTTTGTGTGTCACAGAAATCTTAGTCCTTTTATTGCATGTCATGTGGATTTGCCTGGAATGGCCTTTATTTTCTGTCGCTTTCCTGATTCAATCCCAGGACCTATTGAATGAGAGACGAACTCCGTAACCTCGCGGCAATGAGAGCCCCCACTTGTTCTCTGTAAACAAAAGTATGAATGATACACAATTTTTTCATTTTGAGAGAAAAAAATTATTCTCACAATTCTTATCATAAACTTATGGAGTGTAGGGGTTTTCCGGAACTGCCCAGATTTTGGCGCACATCGCATTTTGCAATGTAACTCTTCAAGGGAGGATCGTGAGCTTATCAATGTTTTGTATCTCTATCGATGGTAGGCTACTTTGATCATTTACAGTCAATTAAAATAATATGGTTACAGGAGCAAGGTGTGTGTAAATCTGATATTTTGGTCAAGTTTGATTTTTGTCCCAAAAGATTTCCTGGAAACACTCGTGATTTATGTCATAATATAGTGCTGGTTGACCGAAGGGAGCGTTTGATTACAATGTTGGTGCAAAACCTGTATTAACAATGTGTTGGGTTTTTTTGGTATGTTTGATACTGGCACACTGTTTTTTTAATTGAAAATAGTAATTTCAGTTGGGCACAGTTTGCGACTGCTACTATCAATGATGTTACCCACATGGTTATCTTACTCTTACTGACGTTCTGTTCAGATTGTACTCATTATGTCTCTCCTTGTTTTCTTATGGTCTTTTGTCTTTCCACAGTTTTATGTAGTGTTACTGCGCACACATATTGTACTTAGACTCAGACTACTCTTTTCATCTCATTGTTTTTTATTTTTAACATTAAAGTGATATTGATACATTACTACTTTCTACATGTTAATAATCTGAGGCGATTTACTTTATTGTTGAATCGATGTCACCTACACTGTTCTTGATACGATGAAGTATAAAAGTGGTTTATAATTTTATTTCATTTTCAGCTTCTCGCTCCTAAAGTTGTGGACGATAAAAAAAATAGTCCTGAGGTGATTGGTTGAAATCGAAACATTTGTCACCCACAGCAACCCTTCATTTTGTGAGTTCTGTTACAACTGAATTTCTATCTTTTGACTTTCCATTTCTCAAACAACACAATTATATCTTTTGGAAGACAAAAAAAAACATTCTCAGGTCTTAAGCAAGAGTAGAAAGGAGCACTGCATCATTTGTAAGAAAAGAAATGTGTTATGCATTACATGTATATTTCTGATGAGAAAAGAAATGTGTTATGCATTACATGTATATTTCTGATGAGAAAAGAAATGTGTGGTACATTACATGTATATTTCTGATGAGAAAAGAAATGTGTTGTACATTACATGTATATTTCTGATGAGAAAAGAAATGTGTATTATCTTGATGATGAGAAGAGAAAGGCGTATTGTGTCATTGGTGTGTAAAGAAACATGTGCTACATCATTGGCAAATGTGGAAATTCATATTATTACATTATTATAGAAAAGAGAAAGTGCATTTTGTCATTGGTGAGAAGAGAATGATCTGTTAATGTTAATAGTTATTGTGGAAGGAACTTCTGTTACCTTACTTTGTGTTCAGTGGCGTGACTCATGGAACTTTTCAAATGCTCCCTATTGTATTATATGAAAATGCTATTCATTTACACGTTGCACATACATGTATAATAAGGGTAGGCTACTGTTTTTGTGCATAATTTACTGTTGGCAAATCTGGGTAAATTTCAGATGTATGAACTCAGTTGTTAATATGTTGTTGAAGTCTAGTGAGGACTAAAGATGTAATATTTTTTGGGAGTTGGGGGGAGGGGGGGGGGGGAAGAAAGGAAGGGCCGGATATGAAATACAGTACACTCCTCAATTATAAACTTGTTTTTTGCAAAGGGTCAAGAAAAGAAAAGAAAAAGTAAGAATAGTCAGTGATACACTTTCTACCTGATTGGCCAGCTACTCTTTTTCTTTTTGTCCTTCATGGATCCAGCTAATTAACAACATTTTGACTTCATAAATCATAGCTATCGTCTGTTGTGAACCTTACTTCCCACTCTGACGCGTGATGTGTTTGCTGGTAGTGACAATTCGTTTTTGGTTGTGTGATCCACTCTAATTGTTGGTGTATTTGGAGGGTTCAAGTTTTTTTATGAAGCTTCTGTGTTTTAGGGCGGTATCAAAATAAATCTTGTGAAGATCTCCCTTTGGAATTATCTTTTTCCATTTTCATGTCAGTTGCATAGAGCATAGACAGGCTAGCCTCAGTAGCCTAAAGGCTCTATCTTTTTACGTTTTTCATTAATTTGGAATAGTTTGAGAGTATCCTCAGTGCTTCTCTTTTTTGTCTAGAGTACCACAATAATACTACATCTACAAATAATATAGAAGATTGTGCTCCATGACTGGATGCAAGAAAGAGTTTTTAATAAATTTTTACTTGACCAGTTTGGATTGGACACCTTTGATGTATTTCTTGTTTTGTACTTTTGTGTCGAGATTAAAAACTTCTGTCTGACGATGCTTTAACTTTTTTTGATATATTGTATGTCATGTCAGGGGTGTGGTGATACGGTGATACTTGCACTATACGTAACGCCATGTCTGCACTAAATGAGGAATATTCAAAACAGCATGCAGAAACTTGTCGTGGGAAAAGTCATAATAATTCAAGCCTAAGACTAATTTTAAGGCACTGGGCTGAAAGTTATAAGGTACAAAATTAAGAATTAATTAATTCAGACAAGACTTCAACGTCTTTACAGGTAACATAGATATCTGTGCTTACTGTGACTTCAAATTATAATGATAAAGAAGTTCTTTTTTATAACGTTCATATATCCTTTGAAATTAAGTACTCATCTTTTGTGATATTTCTGATTTTCCAAGCTCAAGCACATAACGATATTTAACAAGGTCAATAGATAGTGCTCAATGTTAAAAACAATCAGGAAACGACAAATGCAGTTTTTGGAACACATAAATAGACATAAGGGTCTGGAACATCTAGCTCTCAATGGCAAAATTGAGGGCAAGCTAGGCAGGGGAAGGTCCAGAACAACATACTTGGGGAACCTATACAAATGGGTAACATGGAAAGATCAGGGAAACGTGGCTTTTTTTAGAGCATCCGAGCAAAGGAATGAATGGAGAACCATGATCGCCGATGTCTGTCGCAGATCTGGCACTGGATGATAATGATGAATAGATAGTGTTTTCTCAGTGTGGAGACAGTATGCATAATGGAGACAGGCTGAAAGGAGAACTATTTAGTTGACATTTTGGATGTCCCAGTTGCGCCTGTTTGTGTGTGAACGGCTTGTTTGATTGAGTTCACTTAAATCTCTTCCACTATTGGTACAAAGCTTTAAGAATGCTGGAGAGTACATTAAAACTGTTGACGGGTGTATTGTGTATTTTCCTAATGTATTATAATTTGGTGCCCTATGCACAAGCAGAGTGCTGATGCAGGGTGACATTGTTGGGTTTTTTTTCATCTTTTTTGGGTGACTATTGTTACTTTGTGGGTGGTTGGTGGGTGTTCACATGTCGTTTGCTACTTCTTTCCTATCATCTTTATCTCTCCTCTTTTTTTTGTACTTTACTCTCTAGTAACACCTCCAATCTTCAGCGCTTATATTTTGGTCTATTTGTATTGCAATAAGTGCTGCAAAACTCTTCCTAATTTCTAACCTTAGGACTGTTGTAAATTCACTTTTTTAACTCTTCCTATGCCTGTAGTATTTCTGCAGTTATGCCAGAACTGTGTGTTGTAAATAGGATGAGTTAAAGGAAGTGTTCGGACAGGTCAGGTACAAGACTTGTTCTTCACAAATGAAATAAACATGTTGGTAAACATTCAAATGAAGGTAGTAAAATGAATTTCAGGAAGATGATGCCGGAAAATGAGTATATGTGAAGCAGCGTGGTGAAATCAGGCTCTCGTCAAAATAAGGAAAGTGAAGAAACTGGCATTTTTCTGCAGGTTTGGGAATTTTTATCAAATGTTTGGTTTTTGGCTCAACATTATCTTTCATGCCCATTTCT